CTAAGTTTTAACTCGACTAACGACATATTTTGATTCGCCCGGACAAAAAAACTAAATCTAGCATTTTAAATCGGGAAAAACGGTAAAAAGTCGAGTGAGTTATTGCAACTTCACCCCCGCCCTTTCTTGCTCTCCGCCATCTTCCGCGCACCATCGTTTCTACTAACCTCCTCCTACACCAATCCTTTCACCGATCTGACACTCCTAGTGCGCTCGCCTGGTACAGAAACCCCCGAATAGGGTCTTTCCCCGCCCGATTTCATCAAGAAATAGGCGGGTTTCACCATCTCCTCCCCGCCATCTTCCTACCCTCTCGTTGCTCCTCTGAATGCACCTAGCGCGCCTGTCTGTCTAGGTCTATTTCCCCTTCCTACGGCTTCACCCCGTTGCCTTGCTGCCTTCGACACTCTTGCGTTAGCTGCTACTGCAGCGCCCAGTCTCACATCGCTATTCCTCCGTCAGTTGCTGTCTACCGCTGCGCTGCCTGGCCAGCCCTTCCGCCCTGCTGTTGCACAGCGCCATGCCGCCCGTCGGCTCATTGGTACCCCGCACGTATCCTGGTTTCCACCGCGTGGTCCGACAGCCCCCGCTTCTCAGAAATTCTGGCTGTCGGACGACCCTCGTTTTTATAGCCTTTATCGGCGCCGAGGCCCCACGCCAATCTACTCTGTATCATTCCAATTTTAACAGATGTCCCGAAGGACTTAGCCGCGGTGGTACCCCCACCTGTGGTTTCTTTTAAGATGTGAACTGCCAGTCTCGGTACCGCATCCCGAACGAAAACGGGACCGCAAATATCAATAGAAGTAATAAGCAATATAAAAAAAGCAAAGATAAAATAAATCATCATAAATAGAAATCCTTAAGCAGGGTGCGGGGACTACTAAGCCCACCGTTCCCGTGGACCGGGCCTGTTGCCGCGTTTGTCAAAAAAAAAACAAAACAAAGGGGGATAGCCCCGTCGGGCCCTCAACCCCTTGGTTCTCTCCATAACACTCCGCCGCTGCTTCGCCGACACTCGCTGACCTCGATCCCCAAACCTTCATAATAGTAGTCCAATACCGTAACCTATAGGGCTAAGCCCAAGCCTGAGACTGAGTTCCGCAGAATACCATATAGGCAGTGCGGCGCGACGTTTTGGGCCAACAAAACGGCTGCGCGACTCCCATTTGCCTGCGCTGGCTTGCTTATATAAGTACCAATCAAAAGAAAATATCCTTAATTCCTGCTTAATCAAAAATAAATAAATAATAAATAATATCACCAAGCAAAACGACCAAGGTCCGGGCCGGCTCTACGATCAACAACAGAAAAGAATCACGCGCGCCTTAAACCTGCGCACCCACGCACTCGCTATTGTGGTCAACCACCTAATCAACGCAATTACAGACGCAGCCGCGCTTAGCGCGGTATGCTTAAATTCTAAACCAAAACCGTTTTTCTGTTATTTGTAAAAACCAGGGCGGATACCGTTGTAAGAGTATTCGCACCGACAACTTACCGGACCATATTAAGTGACGTTCCCGTCGCTTCGCCAAATCAGAAAGCTATAAACCCACCCACACTCCAAATGCTGGCGGAAAACGAACCAATCTGATTAGCCGACAAACACAGGGTAGAGGCCTCTATGAAACCGTGCCTCCACAACTATATGCTGCTAGGTTTCTAACCTGGGCCTCTCACTGCCCAAAAATTAGAACGCTGACAGCATAAGTTCCAAAGACCTTTCCAATCGTCCTCCCCCCAGTCCTAGACAACCTTCGGCTTCTCGTTGGGYGTCCCTAGTCCTGGCAAAAACTAGGGACGCGGGCCTTAATCGAGACCTTTTGAAGGCATTCTTGCCTTYCTTCTCAAAATCCATCGCAATCCAAAAACACATAAGTATATATGTATACTTAATATTCGCTCAGCTCTTTCTGCAGTCTAGTACAGAAAGGCTAGGTCTCCATCTTGGCCCACCATAGCCTGGCTGATCGGACCAGGACTACGGCCCACCGCATTGTTATTTAGCGGCAGTACCCCTCGTTGGTTACGCAACGATAGGTTTCCTCCTGATAAGCATTCAATCAGGATTTTCCCAAAAAATAATTATCAACCATCACTATCCCGCGGAGTAATTTCACTGGGGCGGGCACCCCCCCCTTAAACTCTTACCCATGCGGTCCCGCAGCCAGGTTGCAC